TGTGGCAGTATACGACAAGCATACCAATGTACCGGGGGATGGGGTGCTATATTCCTCCCTTGTGTTCAAAATCCACAAATGATTTGAGAAATAGACACACAAATTCCTTCTTAGATAATTCATCTTTCTTGGATACCTCTAAGCTCTTCTTTCCTATTGCACAATTAAAAGTCAAAAGAGGTTAGTCTCTAAATAATGCTATGTCCCTAGAGATGAAGATACATGACCTGAAGCTGTAATGGGTCACTGCAGTGAGCTTCTGCCCAGAGACCTACATAACTCTTTGAAAGTACAATTGATGTTCATTGGTCCAGATTTTAAACATTTCTTATCCTTGCCAAGGTTCCATCCGATCATGATTATTAGTGAATAGTGATTGATCTAACTTTAAATTAGTATCCTATCATAATGTGTTTTAACTTAGTTTTTTGGTTTTAGTTTATCTTGATGTTTCCAGAGAAGAGTACAGCCTATATAACACATTCTATTTGTATAATATATACTTAAAAAGTATACCTTATTTAAAAATAAAAAGAAACTAAGGCAAGATGAGTGGTTGTATAAAACTGTCATTGCTTATCATATCTTTCATTGTCTTTCCACAAGGAAAAGTCATGCTGTACAGAAAGGACACTCGTCCTTGGCACAGACTATGGTCCTCCTGATGTAGCACTGCATTGTTGAAGGTACTGATGGGCAATAAAGAGAAAATATTCCACATGTCAAATTTATGTTTCCATCTCTTGGAGGCCTGGGGGTATACCCTTTACTAAACTGAAATGTCAGAGCTTTATTTTGCATCACAGCAAGATGGCTCAGCAGCGTGCAATTGTACACTTCAGCAGAAATGTCTGCCCGGCCAGACTAATGGTCAGATTAATGGTATCTGTTTATTTCAAATAAATCTATCCTGAGACAATGCCTAAAGGTGTTTGCCTAGTTAATACAAAGGCTCTCTGGAGGGCCCTAGAATAAGCATAAAAGAAATAAAGGATTTTTTAAAGCAATTACCTCCAATCAATATTAATTAGTCAATGAGTAGAGTTATTGGACAAATGAAAAATCAAGTTTTGAACATTTTTGAAACCTGAAAAAGTCGAGATTGAATTACTTTTAGTTGTTTTTCAGCTCATAAGCTTTGGGGATACTTAATGTTCAGATGTACTGTTCTGACAAATGATGAAGTATGTCCTGGCTAGTAATTATAAACAATAATAAGAAGGAGTTCAATGGATCCGTATTTTACTCTTTCCCAACTCTTTGAACCCATATTCAAGGATATAACAGCAAATTCGCCTCTGTAGTTTTTCAATCAATTCAGAAATGTGATTTCAGCTTCTTTCAGTAAGGTTACCAGTTCGTTCTGAAATAATCAGTATAATGATCTCTTTGGTTAACTTCTTATTTTTCTTCTCTGTAGGTTAGATATAATTAAATATCTTCGTCTATAATTTTTTTGCTATTGATAAGATATGCTAGGCATTCTTCATCTCAGGCTTTTTTTGGGGGGGGGAGGGGGAGTTTAGAGAAGGAAAAGTAACTAAAGCTGATTGGTCACCTTTTGTATGCCAAGTGGTTTACGAGTATAATCCTGTTTAGTTATCATGCCAACTCTATGCTATAGGAGGTACATTAGTTTGCAAGGGCTACCATACAAATTAATGCTGATTGGGTGGCTTAAATAACAGAAATGTATTTTCTTATAGTTCTGGAGACTAGGAACCTAAGATCAACGTGTTGGCAGAATTTTTTTTTCTAAGGGCCTCTCTCCTTGGCTTGAAGATGGCTCTCTTCTTCCTGTGTCTTCACATGACCTTCTTCTGTGTCTGGGTCCCGGCTTCCTTCTCTTAGAAGGACAACAGTTATATTGGATTCTGGCCCAACTCATACAACTTAATTTTATATTAACTACTTCCTTGAATGCTCAGTCTTTACAAGCCCTAATTTTACTATAATTACCTCTTTAAAAGGCCAAATGCCAAATATAGTCACATTCAAAGGTACTGGAGGTGAGGATTTTAACACACAAATTATGGAGGACACGCAATTCTGACCCTAACAAGTTTATGTAGGAGGCAACTGAGGATCAGTGAGTTGGGGGCTGTTACAAGGTAAAGTGGCCATTTCAGAGACCTCTGGACTCTGGAGTCAATGACATTGCCTCCCAGTTTCTGCCTCCTGCCTTGGTCTTATTCTTATTTAGTCTTGGTCATTAATTTCTGAATTACTTTGAGAAAGTTACTAAACATATTTTTTGGCTCTGACTCATTGACAAAATGAGGCCAAGTCCTATGGTACTTAAGGAATCTTGAAACTTTCACATTCTTTGATGAAATAGCAGTTGGTTTTTGCCTTAAGTCCTAACTCTTCCATTACATTTTAGAATCTTTTTGGGTAAAAGCGAATGCCACTTTTTCATGTCACAAATAATAATAGCAATACTAAGTTTATGATTAATCAAACTGAGGCTTTTTAGTTCTCTATTACAATGAAGAAATAAAAGAATATTACTTCAAAATACATAGTGTATGCTGATTTCTGTAAGAGCAGCAAGTAATTAAAGTCTAAATTAGCAACGGAGCAGCAGCTACAAAGGTAGATAATCGGGAAAATACTATAAATTGAAGAATTGCCCTGTGATTACAATCTTGCATGTACTTTCAATTCTTTATTGTATTTAACATATAACTCTTTTTTTCTGTGTGTGTTTTTTTAATGATTCTGTGTGTTAATAAGTGGACACCATATAGCAAGCATGGCAGAGAAGGCTTGCTACTAATTTATTAAACAGATTAAGTTTTCAGGTTACGGAATGTAATTACCTCAGTTGGCATGGGCACAGTTTAAATTTCACTGTCATGTCATGTGTGAATTCTTGATGTTTAGAAAACTTGAGCATAAGGTTGTAATGCCTGTGTAAGTTATTGGTTTCTTGAATTTCACTTACTTTAAAATAATAAATAACTTATTTCTTTGAAGATATTTCATTTAAGGTTTTATTTAGGTTAAATGAGTATATATCCAAATATTTTCCACCTTAATATTTCACACTTAGAATTTAGATTAATACTAGATATAACATCAAATTAGTAACTTTATGTATGGTCTATTTCCTTTACTAGTAACAAAACTTAAGTCTTCATCATTACTCTGGTAGAAAACACAACTGTATCCTGAAACAAAAACTGAGCAGGGTTTTAGGCTTTGACTTTTTTTTTAACGCATAAGTCATGTGTTGAAATACTAACCCCCAAAGATAATGGGATGAGGAGGTTGGGCCTTTGGAAGGTGCTTCAGCCACAAGTGTGAGCCTTCGTAAATGGGGTTAGTGCATTTAGATACCCCTCATGCTTTCTACCACGTCAGGACGTGCAGGAGGTTCCAGCTGGGAGCTAGGAAGAGGGACCTTAACAGAAGGGGACTGGGCTGGTCCCTTGATCTTGGACTTTCTAGCCTTCAGAACTATGAATAATACATTTCTGTTGTTTATAAGCTACCTAGTCTGTGGCACTGTATTTTGTTACAGCAGCCTCAACTAACCGCAACAATCTTATCATCAATACACTTTTCAAATCTGCTACATAAATCACAACTGTTTTGCATTGTTATTAAGCCTGTGTTTTAGAGAAACAACCTTTTTGTCAATGGTATTTAAATTAGATTTATTTCTGTGCCTGAGTATTAGGCTTTTTAAGACTGACTGTGCAACAATTTTATGATTTTGTAAAGAATATGTTGTTCTCTTAACCCTGACCTATTGCATAGAGGTCATTTATATAGCAAGGGCACAATTCCTTTTTAAGGAGCTCTTCATTAATGTATGTCTTTATAAAAAATTAAGTGTGCAGTTAAGTATATTATGAGAGTATGAGAACACAACAATGAAAGTATGACTCTACTAAAATTTATTTTCTTACTTTTATAGAGATAAATATTATTTTTCTTATAAGATGATGGTATGTTTATAATATCTGGATTACTTTGTTTGTTTAAAGTGTATTCCAGGCAAAATATATGATTGCTTCATAGATATTCCATATTTTAAGAACTAACAAACATATTAAAACATTTTGAGAACTGGTGTTTTATGTCAATTTGAAAATATACTTAGGTTTCATTGGGGTACATAGGGTTTCTTTCACATACATGGAGTTTTTTTCACTAATATTGTTTTTATTTTATGATAAAGGCAATTTTTATTTACTCATTGATTCCCCCCTTTTTTCCTTTTAAAACTTGTGATTTTTAGGTCTATTCTTTTTTTTAATTTTTATTTTAATTGTTGTTTAAGTATAGTTTTCTGTCTTTGAATTGGTGTTCCAGAATCCCTGGGGTATAGTCCCAGTAGTTGTATTGCTGGGTCAAAAGGCAGTTCCATTTTTAGTTTTCTGAGGAAATTCCATATTGTTTTCCACAGTGGCTACACCTGTCTACATTCCCACCAGCAGTGTATTAGGGTTCCCTTTTCTCCACAACTTCTCTAACACTTGTTGTTGCACCCATGCACCCCAATGTTCATAGCAGCATAATTTACAATAGCCAAAATGCTGGAAATAACCTAAGTGCTCATCAGTAAATGAGTCAATCAAAAATCTGTGGTATGTTTATACAATGGAATACTATACAGAAGAAAGAAAGAAGGAGCTCCTACCCATCGTGACAGCATGGATGAAATGGGAGAGCATTATGCTCTGTGAAATAAGCCAGGTGGTGAAAGAGAAATAGCATATGATCTCACCTATAAGTGGAACCTAATCAACAAAACAAACAAGCAAGCAAAACACAACCAGATGCATGGAAATAAAGAAAAAACTGACAGTTACCAGAGAGGAGAGGGGAGAAGGATAACAGGGGAAGGGCCATCAAGGAACATTCATAAAGGATCCATGGACAAAGCCAAAGGGTGTAGGTTCAAGGGTGGGAGGCAGGATAAAAACAGAGGCAACCATACTTGAACAATTTTAAAAAAATCAATCAGTCAGTAAAATATATATTTTTTATACTGTATCAGTAAAAATACCAGGTTTAACATGCACAAAGCCAAGAAAACCAATGATGCCAGATACTGAATTTATATCACACTGTCCTTTGAACACCCAGCAGGAAAGTAAAATATACTTTCAAATTTCAAAAAGTTGACCTCTAATTTTCACATGTGCTTTTATAACAAAATGAACACTTGCTGCTGCCAATATTTTTACTTGACTAAAATAAAATTTATCTCTGTTTTAGCCTGATTTGTTAAGATTTGAAAATACAAGAATCATGCTTCTTTGCCTGATAATGTAATAGTTGTATATGAAAGTACTTAGCATGAGAAGCAGAAAAATAAAATGACTTGAAATTTAAAATTAGTTCCCTTTTCTCTTGCTATTTATTCTGCCTAACCTATAATTTGTTTCTTTGAATATATGATAAAACACAACCTCTAATCATCTCAGATAAAACAAGTGTCATACAATGTGAATGTTTTGATACTATCAATACGAGATTCCTCTATACAGAGCACTTATAGATGGGATTTTATACCAGGGTCAGTTTGGATGTTTTCTTTTTCTTTTTTTTGTGGTTATTGCTATTGTTGTTTGTTTTTTGCTTTGAAGAATGTCTTAAAATTCTTCCTCCTACTAGACTAAAATTCTTACTTCTACACATTTTTTTCCCTTTGAATAAAGACCAAGCATAATGCTCTTCCAAGCATCTTCCAATAGTATTATTAAATAAAGAGATATTTATTCTAGAGAATAATTATTTTCAGTTTTTTCAGTAATTTATCTGCTTTCGAAAAATGTGAAAATACCTTTCATTCAATCTAAGTCTAAGATATTTTTATACCACTTAATGGCTGTCCATAATTTTATCAGCCTGGGTCTTGGAGTGAGGATGTCACAAAAGAGAGACCCCTCACAAACTTGTGAGTAACATGATGTGAAATAACAATAAGTAATCCCTTCTTGCTTCAAGTCACAGAGATGGGGGTGGGGGCCATGTGCATGTGTGTGCACATGTCATGAGATTTTATTGCTGTATGTCTGATCAAGATAGTCAGGTTTCACAACAACGTGTTCATTAATAGAACAAAATGTAATTTCTTGCTCATACAATGTGTCTAATGTGGGTTTTCAGGGCAGCTGTGTTCACTGTCATAACTCAGAGACACAGGCTGGTGGAGGTCCATCCTGACACAGGTGTCACCATCTTGTGCAGGGAAAAGTGAGTTGGGGAAAGGTTAGAGTAATATGTTGTCCAGAAGTGACAGACTTTTTTTTTCACATCTCATTGTCAAAAGAAATCACACAATTACATCTAACTTCAAATTGATGGGATGTCTGAATTATCTGTTAGTAATTCAGCATAATCACCATATTCTTTAACATCTCCTTTGGATGACAGTAAAGAGGCTCGGAAATGTATGTCTTCAAATTCCCTTTAGAAAGCAGAAGAGAAGCACAGGGCATCATCCCCTGGAAGTGGTTACGAGCACACAGTGAACAGATGTGAGATTCACAGCTGCTTCTTGGTAAGAATTGAGAACGACCACTACATCACTGCCAACTGAGATACGTGGAGGGATGTTTCCTTAGAAATTCCTTTGAAAAGCTGACAGTTTCCAGATAGCTTTTCACAAACACATTCTTCAGTATGTCCTGCTAAGGTGTTCAAGTCTGCTTCCTTGACCTTATGGTGGCAGCTTCTCTGCCTTTTCACAAAAACTTTCCTGTGCTTTGCTTCCTTATCTTCTCCATATTCACAATAGACCTTAATTTCTGCATTATTTTTATATTCGGAATACTTAACATCAGTCTGTTTTCCTGATGAAACACATATTGATACAGCAGAAACATGCCATTTACCATAATCTCACAAGGAGGATATTTATGATCAGCCCCAATGACTACAACATATACTATTTTCCCACAGATAAACTATATTATCTTATTTCAAATACTAACACCCAAGACCATTCAATAGGGAAAGGTCAGTTTTGTCAACAAATGGCACTGGGAAAACTAAATATTCACGAGCATAGGAATGAAGTTGGGCACTTATATAACAACATATACAAAAATAACTCAAAGTGGATTAAGAACCTAAATGAAAGACCCAGAACTATAGAACTCTTAGAATAAAACATAGCTCAAAAGCTTCATGATGTTAGATTTGACAATGATTTTTGGATATGTTGCCAAACACAGAGGAAAGAGAAGAAAAAAATGGGCAATTCGGACAAATAAAAATATTGAAAAATTAAAAAATTTTGCATCAAAAGACAAAATCATCAGAGTAAGAAGGCAACCCACAGAATGAGAGAAAATATTTGCATATGTTATATCTGATAAAAGTTTATTACTCAAAATATGTGGAGATCTCCTAAAACTAAACAATATAGAAATAAATCAACCTGATTCAGAAAAATGGCAAAATGTCTTAAATAGATATTTCACAAAAGAAGAAATACAAATCATTAATAAATGCATGAAAAAATGTTTAACATTACTAATTAATAAGTAAATGCAATTCAAACCTACAATGACATACCACCTCACACCCATGAGGATGGCTGTAAGAAAGAAAAATCCCACAAAACAAGGAAATAACAAGTGTTGATCACGAAGTGAACAGATTGGAACCCTTATTCACTGTTGGTGGAAATGTAAATAGTACAGCTACCGTGAAAAACTGTGGTGGTTCTTCAAAAAGTATTAAAAATAGAATTACCATGTGATCCAGCAATACTACTTCTGGGTGTCCACTCCAAAGAGTTGAAAACAGAGCCTCGAAGATGCCCATGTACACCACAGTCACAGCAGTATTATTCCCAATGGCTAAAACATGAGAGCAACCCATGTGTCCATCAGCAGATGAATGAATAAGCAAAATGTGGTACATACATGCAATGGCATATCATTTAAACTTAAAAGAAAAACACATTCTTATGTATGCTGCAACATGAACAAAACTTGAGGACATTATGCTAAGTGAAATAAGCCAGTTAAAAAAAAAGACATTTACTATGTGATTTTACCTATGTGAGGTGCTTAGAGTAGCCCGAATCATGAAGACATAGAGTAAAATGGTGGATGCCAGGGTTGAAGTAAGGGAGAAGTCATGTTTAATGGTTACAGAGTTTTAGTCTTACAAGGTAGAAAGAGTTCTGGAGATGGATGGTAAAAATGATAATACAACATTATGAATGTAATTAGCTCCACTAAACTGTGCAACAAAAAATAGTTAAGATGTAACTTTTATGTGATATGTATTTTACTACAATAAAAAAGTCGATACAAATATCAAGCCTCATGGATTCAAATTACAAGGTCACACACTGGTTCTTTGAGTGATAGTAACTTGAATTAGAGATGAATAATGCAGATATTTTTATATCAGACGCAGGTCCACACACTGAAAAATGGCAATATAAAACAAAAACAGAAGTGATCTGCCTCACAGACACCTACATACAATTGTGGAATAGATACAGGAATGCTGTGACATTCTTTCCTAATCCTTAGTCCTTTTTCATTGTTCTCCATGGTTTTTGGCTTTTCTCTGGACACCATATCAAACCACTGGCCACTTGATCATATGATTTTTATTGACAATAAAATGTTAAAACTTCTTTTAGGCAGAAGTTTTGAGAGCCAATGAACAAATCATCACACTTTCTTTTTCTCTGCTATGCTCACCTGAATGTTCTAGATGGTGCATACTCTTCATCATTCTGGATCCTGGAGAAAGGAATAGGAAGTAGACCCCTAGACCCCTGGGATAGACCCCTGGGATAGACACACGTTTTTATTGCAAGCCATTATAGTTTGGATGGGGCCATTACTGCTGCATAGCAAGATTATCTTGACATACATCATTGTAATTGGGTCATGATGATGCAATTGTCATGAATGGGGCTAGCTAACTTATAAGAAGATTAGCTATCCAAAAGAGAAGTTGCTGGGTCATATGTTAACTCTATTATTAGTTTTTTGAGGAATGCCCCACACTGTTTTCCAAAGTGGCTTTACCAGCAGCAGTAAATGAGGTTCCTTTTTGCTTCTCAACCTCTCCAGCAGTTGTTATTATTTGTATTGTTGGTAATAGCCATTCTAACAGGTATGAAGTAATATCTCATGATGGTTCTGATTTGTATTTACCTAGTAACTCATTTTGAACAGCTGTTCATATACCATTTGTATGTCTTCTTGGGGGAAGTATTGGTTCAGGTACTACACTCATTTTTGTTGTTGTTGGATTGTTCATTTGTTGGTATTATTGTTGAGGTGTATGAGTTCTTTATATATTTTGAATATTTACTCCTTTTTGGAACTGTTGTTTGCAAATATATTCTCTTATTCAGTTGGTTGCCTTTTGCTTTATTTAAAGTTTCTTTTTCTGTGCACACAATTTTTAATTTGATACAGTCCCATTCATTCATTTATTTTTTATTGCCCTTGCCTTTGAGGTCAAATTCATAACATGGTCTTTAAGAACAAGGTCCATAAGTTTATTGTCTATGTTTTCTTCTATGTAATTCATTGTTTAAGTCTTATATTTAGGTCTTTGATCCATTTTAAGTTAATTTTTACATATGTAGACAAACTGTAATTTAGTTTCATTTTTTTACATATGTCTTCCCAATTTTCCCAGCACCATTTATTGAGGAAGCTTTCTTTCTCCATTGTATGTTTTTAGCTGTTTTGTCAAAAATTACTTGCCTGTATGTGCATGTGTTTAGTTCTGGGCTTTCAATTTTGCTCCATTGGTCTGTGTGTTTGTTTTCCTACCAAATACCATTCTGTTTTGATTATCATTACTTTATAGTATAATTTGAAGTTAAGTAGTGTGATACTCCAGCTTTTTTTTCCCTCAGGAGTGCTTTGGCTATTCAGGGTCTTTTGTGATTTCATACAAATCTGATAATGCTTTTGTTCTATTTCTTTTAAAAATGCCATTGGAGTTGTGATTGGGATTGCATTAAATCCATATATTGCTTTGGGTAATATGGCCATTTTAACTATGTATGGTCTTTCCATCCAAAATATCTCTCCATGTCTTTGCATCTTCCTCAATCTTTTAATAATGTCTTATAGTTTTCAATGTATAGGTCCTTCACATACTTGTT